CCCTCCAAAATGGTTCATGTAAGAATGCGGTTAGCTCAAGAAACAGAAGATATATATCTATGTATCTATATTCTGTTTTTATATATATATATAAAAAGCCATTTGGCACTCATGCATCGTTGACATCTGCTTAAATAGATTCTGTTTCCTCTACGACCAGTCTCCATTAGCACCTTGCATTGTTATGCTATCTTTTTTTTTTTTTTTCCAGGAACCAGTATCCAAGAAATAAAAGACTTCAGCATTATGAGGGCTTTGGAATTTTAAGCTGTTTAAGCCATCGAATGCTGCCACCTTTGTAATATCTGCTAATGATGGCTACGGAAACTAGTATTTTGTTTCCATTTTAATTTGTATTAGTAAGGTGAGTGATCAGTGGAGTACAGATTTGGCATGCTGCTGAGCCTATCGTGGTAGGACCACTTTTTTGGGGTCTCGGCTCCAATTTTTTTGGCCTTTTACTAGGTATGAGAAACTGCAGTGCTCTCTACTAAGCTCTCTACTAAAGTGCAATTTTTTTTGCAAGTATCTTGTTCAGGAATATAATGAAATCTTTGATTCTGTGACAATTAACATTGCAGAAATAAAGGTTCTTGGCCATTATTTTCATGCTATCCACATGCTTTAGGAATGACCCAATTAGTCATCATTTGCTGGAAGAGGGGGGAGGTGTGGGGTTTTTTGCTTTATTTTGCTTTTGTCCTTCTATGCATCAAAGCCTATAGGTCTCCTTTACTGTTATCCCTTGCTGCTGACTTTGAACGACACCTGTGCTTGAAGACTGGTGGGAAGCCACAGAATAAAAGTCAATACTAAGTAGTTTTATTCTACATTTTCTGATAGCACTCTTGCTAAAAATATCTTAGGCCTGAAATAAAAATTCAATAAATACCATTTTTATCATTATGGCTTTGATTGTCATGCTCCAAAAAAAATCCACAAAGCAACTGGCTCCATTTTATGCCAGATACAGACCAGAGCCGAGTAGGTCCCATCCTCATGATCTCATGCGACAAGGAAGCTCAATACCATGGTGAATTAAAACCCTACTTTACTCTTCTGGCAGCTTAAAATGAGCCAATTTGGCGTGCATTTAGCAAGGACACAGAACAAAACAAGCATGCAGCAAGGATTTCACTCTTCTTCCGGTGTTCATTGCACTGTGATGGCTGTTGTTTACCGGTCCGTAAGGAGGTAATTCACTTCCAGGACAGTTCAATTCAACAGGATTTTTGCCATTAGCTTCAGTGAGACTTGGGTTCCTCAGGTCCTTGAGTTTTTTTCCCTTTACGTCCTTTGATTCCTCTTCTCCAGCGTGCCTTCCTGCTTTATGTTTTTCGTAAAGACTGAGTTCCAGTTTCTCTAATTCCTTTTTTTCTTTCTGAATAGGATGGATTTTTTTCCCATCCTCAATATGGACATAGAATGTAAAGGGATCCTCATTTCCATGGTGCCATCTCAAATTTTTGACTGTTTCTGTGATCCACAATTCAGTGGCTTAATAAAAAGAAAGAAATAGTTTAAAAAATAATGTTACTAATCTTCAGATGTTTCACTGTCATAGACAGCACAATAGTGCACTGGCTGTTGTGAAGAATGTATTTATAGGCAGCAGAAAAATCATACACAACGAAAAAAAGATAATCAAACCTGAGTAAACAGCTCACACTGAGATCCACAGTTGTCGTCAATTTTAAAGATTCATCTTGTGATTTTAATTCCAAAATTTTCAGTTAGTTCAACAAAAAATGAAGGTGTCAAAGGACGTGTCCAGTGAGGATGACATCCATGGCAACACTGGGAGTTACTCACTCGTGGGCAAACCTCAAACATCCATAAACGTGTCCGCCTTTCAGCTGACTGTTTGGAACAGACTCTCAGTTCCCAACCTTCATCTCCGCAAATACAAAACTGTATATGCATGCAAATCTGCATTTGCAGATACCAGTATCTTCCAGTGTACACACTTAAACATATTATAACACTGCTCTTACACATGGGCAGTAGCACTTCCATTTGCAAAGAATTTTCATCTGTAACATAAGCAAAACCAATGTCTGTAAACATTTTCTCCACTTGTAAGCACATCCTTTAATTAATTTTTAAGCTTCATTTAAGGGATATAGTAGCTTTCATTTTTAATAGATGGTTCTGTTGCTGACAGTAAAAAAATCTTTTAGGAGCTGTGAATACAGAGGTTGGAGATTAGCTTTAGAAAAAGCAAACTGCAGAATAGATGTTATGTTAGGCAGATCCCACATATTTCCGATGGAAGTTTTTTCCTCCTTAAGTTTACTCAAGGAAGATAACAGATTATGGAAAACTAAAGTAGCAAATGTTAAAAGCAACACATTGTATAAAATTCATACACTAACTAAAGCAATAAATTAACTAGGTTGGTATATAAACAAATAGTTGGTTCTGGAACATAGGAAGTAAGGTGGTAGACGAGTTCAAATATATTCTCAGGAGTTGAAGCAAATGAGATCACTTAGGTTTCATGATCAGGTACAGCTAAACTACTCCTATACAATTTTTGCTAATACAGATCTAGGGTATATTTGCATTACCCTAAAGTAAAACCACTTTGTCATTTATGCTTCAAAATAGGTACTCTTTGGAAAATAAACTGATATATAATGCTAAAACATGTGCAAGGCATTTTCTAAGCTTTTATAATTCTGGTTTTTTTAGACATCATCATAATATTCTAACAAGTATTATTTTACTTTGAGTAAAGTAAAATTTAACAAGTAACTCATACAGGATTTCACAGAACACACTACAAGAAAAAAATCAAACTTCTACATCCATTATATTAATTCAGCACACATGCTATGGATTGTCTAGTACAATACTTCTTCAGCTATACAGCGTAATCAAAACCTCTGAACACTACTTTCTTATGTTGTGTTGGCTTTCTAATCACCGAGTAATTCTTTAGGTAAAGTAGCAACGTGTAAATAACCTAGTTGTACTGTACCTGAATGCCAAAGACCAAGTCAAGTGTGTATCAATACTGATCATCAGGAGTTACAATTTTAAGGCCAGGCTGTTGGTCTTAAATTATAGCCAAAAAAATGGCTTCATTACCGTAGATGTGGTAAGACCACAATGCACCGAGGACCCAGTGTGGGTGCAAGAACCCTGTGACAACTCTGTGATGCACCATCTCAAGATACCGCTAATCACAACTGAATGCGATCACAAAACAAGCCAAATAACTTCTTACGGAAAACCATCAGCCATCAAACTAATTTATAGTAACTCTTAATAAAAAACCCATCGGGCAAGATTTCCCACTTCTGACCTCACCACTGTTTGAGGTCTGAACTTCAGCTGGAGTCTGACACCTAGTGAAGCTATGCAGATGGACGTGGACATCAGCTGGGGATCCGATGCGTGGTTTCCAGTACGTCACCGTGCCAGTAAAGCGTGAAGCGAGTACCTGTTACTTCAGGCAACGCAGCACCAGTGCTTCTGCGCAGATGCACCTTACAGAGGTCTCCACGCCACAGCTGCAACCGCATCCCCGTTTTGCGAGGCACCGCTACACCTCTGGAAGCAGCTTAAGCTTTCGCGCCAAGGGGCTGACAGGCTCGGGGACCCTGCCTTGCGCTCCACCTCGTTCTCCACACCCTGCTATGGCAGTGGCTTGATCCCAAGCCACGGGGACGCTCCTGGTGCTGGGAAAGACAATCCGCCGTTGAAGCACTCTGTGCCCATCGAATCGACCTCTCCTGCCTCCTCCAAAGGAAAGGTGCAGGCCAGACGGGTGTCTCCTGTGGCAGTCTGGTCTACGGGCTCCTGTCTGGATTGTGTTGGTGGCTCTAACACATGGCGGTCTGAATTCGGGCGCGAGGACCGAAGACACCCAAAAAACCCCTTTAAGCAAGATAGAAAGGTTACATATTTAACTTATTCTACTTAATACCTGCTTCAAAGCTACAATTATGAAAAAAAATTACACTTGACACTTAAGCCCCTTTAAATTGTCAAGGGTGTAGCAATCATCTGCGGCAAGATAGCTGATGCTGTAGTACACTGCAGCACCTTAGGATCTGGCTCCAGACTGTCACACTCAAAATAAGGAGCAAAAAGGTTTTGTTGAATAGAAGATATAGTGTTTGTTTTAAACGGAATGTGCTGGCCATCTTTTTTTTCTTTTTTTTTTTTAAACTGGGATTATGGGTGTAGGGTAAGGAAGGGCAAGAACGGGGTGATCCGTAAGAGTACAGGGACATGAACATGCAAAAGTGGAAAAGGGACCATCACCTACTCGATCATGACCCACAGCAGGACTCAGCTGACCGCAGAACGGCTACAGTGCAGGAGGACGGCCCGCAGGTAAGAAAACTTGTGTTTGTGCAGGCCCCAACAAAAATATGACTCATAATATTAATTCCCTTCATATATTTGGATCTTACTTCCTTTGTAACAAACGTATCTCACCCCTGAGGTGAATGCTTTTGTTGGTACAGATTTTCTTCATCAGCTCTCTCTGAAAATTGGCAGGCTAAGAGATATTTTCGTTATCACAGTTCATGAAGCACCCAGAAATCAGATCTTTAAGGCAATCAATTGTAATTATGTAAAATCTTAGGCTGCATCCAGCTCTCCCACTTTGCTCATGCTACCGTGACGGCATGATTTCAGTGGAACAGAGTCTGACTCAACAGAAATAAGATCAAAGTTGGCCCTAAAATTATGTTTCAAGGAACAGAAGAAACTACGCAAGAAAGATATTGTATTTGAGAACATTTTTAATAAATAATGTGACAAAAATTACTTTTCTGATTATTGGATCCTCAGTATGCAAAATTATGGCTAAAATATGAGGTTTCTTACATGAACATAATGAAAACATTAATCACATGGATTGTTCCTTTAGTACTGCACATCCTTTCTATGGAACCTTTCTTTAAAAATTAGCTAAATGAAAAATTTCAGTCCTCGGTAAACACCAAAACACTTTTTTTTTTTCTTCTTTTTTTTTTTTTTCATTGGGGCTAGTCCTGATAGCTGTCAATAAACAAACACACATTTTTCCATTAGCACCAATGACAAAGAAATTTTATAATTACAAAAAAGATCATAAAATCTACAGACAGAGGACATAATTTGGCAAATTCAATGCAACTAATGCCTCTTTCAGCTTTAATGATAATCCAATGTTGAGAGAGGCCACAGCAAAATTGATAATTTTCTGTAAGTCCAGGAAAAGTGAGAAGTGTTTTGATTATGGCCCACATTTATGTTTGTTACTTTACCATCTGTCATCATTCAAATATTCCAAATACAAACGTAGAGCATTAACAAAAAGATGAAAAAGATCCCAAACAAATGCTTAACATTTTCAATAAGACAAAAAAAAAGGGTTAATAGTTACAATGGTTTACAAACAAAGTTTAGTGATTGTGCTTTTAAAACCAAAAAAAAAAAAAAAAAGATAAGCAGTGCATTACAAAAAAATTAATCGCCAAGATCAAACAAAACTTCTTTAAGTGGCACTTCTTTAAGGTGAATTGACACAAGTAGAGGTCTGAGATTTGGGCCAGTAACAGTTAATGATATTACCCAATCGTTATTAAAAATGTCCATTGATTTTCTTGCTTATTTTCATAAGCATTGTTGAAGCTGAAAATCAGAAAAAGTTTCAGATAAACTTGCTCATGCTATGATTAAGCAAACAGCAATCACATCGGCTTACCTCCTGCCTATCCCAAAGGACATTTTTAATAAGAATGTACTTAATGATGAAAATAGAAAGACAAATCAAAGTACCACAGGGGATTTAAAATGAGTACATATTTACAATAAGAGCCACCTCATCCCAAATTAATTTTACTTGCTTTTGTAAAACTGTATCATCTGCAAAAGGTTAGCGAGAGACTGGAAGAAAACAAGACACACAGTCTGTATTGAAATTGCAAGATACCATTTGCACTAACTGCAGACTACAGTGAAATCCCTAGAATAGATGAACGTTCTCCACGATGGTCACTTTGGGGAACTTTTTAATCACCGCTGTATTACTTGCAATGTTATCGACTGGCTCACTGGCGTACCGGCAGTGTACTAAGCACCGCCTCACGGGAGAAACGCGGGGATCCCAGGCTCAGGAATCCCCTCCTGTTCTAATCCTGAAGCAGCAGCTGGCCCAAGTACCACAAAGAGCAGCTTACCTGCCTTCTTGGGCAGCGAAGGTGATGCACTTAGCATTACGGAATAGGCAAGGGCCGTTCCTAATAAGGAGGGTTTACAAAGAAAGAGTAAAATAAAAACTAGCATTCTGATGGCATGAACAAAAATGAAAAATTGTACACTCTGATTGCACTGAACACTATTTCTGGCGTCAAACGTCATCAGACTTGAGGCATCTTAAGTGATTTTTTTTTTTCTGCTTAGATTTTAAAAGCCTGTTACAGTACATGTCGTTGTCTTCAGCTTTCTGTTTCCTGTATTAAAAAAAAAGACATAAATGACTACATGTTAAATTGTATTAATTTAAGTTTGTTTCTCATATTTCTTAGAGATAATTACTACTTTTAATTACATGCAACAACATGCCTGCATGTTGGACATCCTTTCTAAAATCAGGATTTAAACTGAATTAATATCTTTAGGCAGAAAAAAAGAAGAAAAAAGTTCACGTCTTAATAACTACTAAAACCTAGAATGATAAACCTTTAAAAAATGTGAAAGGCAATGTTAAGGCATTCTTAGATGCGCTAATGCTTTATTTTTGCTTTTGAAAGAATCTGGATAATGTAATGTACACATTTAAGTATCATATTTCTGCAAGTTCTGTTCCACAGGTTTTAGTGAGGTGACAGTTTTACTATGCAACAAATTACTTGTTTTTTAGGTTTTTGACACATTCCTAAACTTTCTTTTCTTGGATTGGGCACAACGTTAATAGACAGATAAATGTACTAATTTTTCTGAAGAGAAACACTTCTAGTTCAAAAGTGTTCTTTCTTGGCATCTGTCTAAGCACAGAAAATAGCCTTATTCTAGTCATCTTCAGTAGTAAAACTGCAGTTACCTCCATCTCCTCTTCTTCCTCTTCTCCTTGTTCATACGCTCCCAGTACTTGCATTTCTGCAACATTCCTTCGGGCTATATTTGCTTGATCCGCCCTCTGTCTGCCTCCTGATCCTCTTGATGACATAGAGCTGGAGGAACTGGGATCTCTAGGATTATTTGATGTTGGAAACGTTGGTCTAGAATATGGCAGGATGTCCTCTGTATAATTAAACGTACACATTGTCACGTTTACAAGCCCAGAGATACCGTGATCCTAAAATTTCTGTATGCAGTTGATTTAGTTAACTTTTTATGAACCTCAGTAGGTTTAAAGGGATGCCTCACAGGAATATGAAATACACTGTTTCCATAATAGCATTATAGAAGCTTTCTTGATGAAATCTGTAGTATTCACATGGTAACATTCACCACAGAAAAATTAGTTCATGATTACTGTCCATTTCAATTTATGATCACTGCTCTATGTTCTACAGGAAAATGAAGAAAAAAAATAACCCTTGTAGGATATTTTCGATACGACTGAGTAGGAGGAAATGACAATACATGCGTGATACTCACAAGGACCTCACTGCATCTAAATAGTAGACCCTGTATTTCTCAAACTGAGTTTGAAAGAAAATTAGTGGGCGTGTTTTAAAATTTCAGCACCATCCTCTTAAGTTAAACTTCTAATAACTTTTCACTACAGTAACCCACTGTAATCGGTATCAATCTTTTACTAATGTGCTCATTTAGCCAACTTACTGCCCAATCACCCCCGATATTGACCCTGGATAACTCTAGGAAGAAAGGACCAGGCAGTTGTATCAATCCGTGTTGAAAACCTTAGTGAACACTTGGCAAATTCCATTAATTATGTTCCATTAATTAGGAATCTTACCAACTTCTATATATAAGAGATTACATTGATCAGGTCTGATTCACATAATGCCACATCAGTCAGTATTTATAACTAATGCATTCCTACTACGGTTTATTTTTTAAAAAGGTCTAGGTTTACAAATAGACAAAGATGGGCCAAGTGCCACTTCTGTGGTAGAAAAGTTAAATATCTGACTTACAGATCTACTGACTTCACTCAGTTCCCTTGTAAATTAAATTATAGTTAGATAGATTAGACATAACTAGACTATAAATGTACAGTAGGGGCAAGGACACTGATCCTTATAGCTCTTGAGGAATGTTTCTGTTTTGGGCTTCCTCATCCTCAGCTTTAATACATGATGAGTGCATAAGCAAAGCACGATAGAAAATCTATGTTTTTCACAAGCTTTTGTTTCCATTTTACCCTAATGAGAACCTGCATCATGACCTGTATTACCACCTGTGATTACAATAAATGGTGACAATTCAGCAGACCTAACTTCACTCACATCAGCGGTGTGAGAGACCCGGAAAGAGCTGCCTGTTCCCTGTGACCAATACCCAATACGTCATTAAATCCAGAGCATGCAAAATAACCTTGAAGAAGATGAGTTTTTGCTGGTGCGCCTTCTCGTTTTGGTGCTTTATTTCCTCGTAGTTTCCCATCACTTTGCTGCTCCTGTGATTCTCTCCGCTCTCCTGAATTTGTCCGCACGTCTGAATGCTGTCTCCCATCCACCCCGTCCCTCCCCTTGTAGCTCGCTCCTTTCCTTTCCGCAGATCTGTCTGTCCTCGCTTCTATTGAAGCAAGTTTTGGCAACATGACTGGCCGCACCTCCAGCTGTGATTTGGACTGGGCGGTTGGTGATTTTATAGCTGGAGGTGGCACAGGAGGGGGTGGCAAGTCTACAAAGTTGAAAAAGAATAATAGTTAAAATTACACCATACGCTAGTAAAATTAAGAAATAATATTTAACTTGAACTGAAGAAACAGATGCCCTATTTACTTTCAGACCTCCCTCTGCCCTTCTCTCTTCACCCTAAAAAGTATTATGTTACTGTTATAACTGCTGATGGGTACTTTTCCAAACTTGATCTTTAAAAATGCAAAGTAAAGACCTCTCACTGCCTTATCAAATCACAAAATTTTCTTAAAACTAATTACAAAAAGCTGTAATAAACCTTAGGCACCTGGATATTAACATTATCAGTTACAGATATCAACACAGAGTTAAAGATATTAACATATCTTTGTTGATATTTATCATTTTTTGCTAAGTCCACGGAACAACACAGCAGCTTGTGCTATAGTTACTCAAGGTCTTCAGTGTGCTGAGTGTTAGAGCAAGTTGGCTGGGGTGTAAGAATGTATATCGGATGTGGTGCTGATATATGTAAGCATAAACTATATTAATTATTGCACTCTTCTTTCAAAATGATACGTTAATCTAACATACATGCCCCTGACATCTGCGGACATGTCATGAGATACAAAAAAATCCCACACTCAATGAATGAAGTTACAAGCTCTCAGGAAGAAGAAAAAAAAAGAAAAAAAGACACAAAAGACATTTGGATATTTCTCCTTAAATTAGCACAGCTTAAGGGGTTTTAAAATTCTGTATATTTTCAGCTATTACTCATAAGGCACACATTTTTTTTTTCTATTCCTGCATTATGACTTAAAACTAGATTGTGTAAAACTGTTCACCAGGATAAAATAGTGCTGTGTAGAATATAAAATGTGAAGGAAAAAAATGTGAAAGTCAAACAAGGACGCGACAATACAAAAGTGGTTCACAACAAAGCTGTAGGAACAAATCATATGCGTATAAGAGAACAACAGGCTAAAAAGAGTGAGATGTAAAAGATGTTTCCGAGGTTAATATTCTCAAGTGAGACTGCTTAAAAAAAATTTGACAGCACTATTAAAAAAATGTAACTTCAGCACTTCATAATAGTGTGCATTCATTCTTTCTACTTCCAAAAAATCTTGAAGCAGCTGTGTTTTTCAAACACCATCACTATATATACAACTAATTCACAGTCTATTCAAGAGAACATTTCAACTGAAAATTAACTAAATTGTAACAAGAATAAAGGTAGTACTCCTGAATAAGAAAAAATAGGAATCTAACATATATGTACAAATTCGGATATGGCAGATGCCAGACATTTCTGAGAGGTTTTCCAGTGACACAAAGCACAAATGACTTGACCTAGCCATGTGGAAAAGTCTAGCAATGGAGAATTCAGCACTCATGCAAGCTTACTGGGCACCATCCTCCATGTTAAACTGGTGACATAACTTGCAATTGCCCTTGGCCTGTTTTAAGTAAGACTGGAAATCTTACCAGTTGTCTGGACTGGGATGATGAGGAAGAAAGTTGTCATAACATTTTTTTCTGAAGGCTGGACATACTACAGGTAAATGAGATCTGTAACATCATTCTTGCTGCATTAACTCCACAGTCTTCGTAAAAAAAACCTAAACCAAACACCACCTCCCCACCCCAAACCCCACAAAAAAACCAACCAAGCAAACTGCTCCTTGTTCTACTTTATGGCTTGAATAAGGGACCAAATCCATTTAACAAAAAAACCAGAAACATTTTTATTTCTGTTTCTCTTTAGCTAAGAACAAGTTGGACAGCTGGTCTTATATTCCTTGCAAATTGTTTATGCTAGTTTGTTTTTCAAAGTTTGGTAGTTTGGGGAACAATTGAATACTGACAATTTTAAGTATCTACTTAACACTCACCAATTTGCAGATGTCTTTTAAGAAAAGGCACTGTCATTTCCCAACCTTGAGAAGGCATAATGTAAATTAGCTGGAAGCCTGGATATACTACATGGCTTAATCAAAATAATGTTATTTATGTAATGGGAATTATTAGACTATAAGTAAGAACAAAACCAGATCTGTGGGCAATGGGCTTGCCTTATTCGTCTGAGGGAACTAAAAGTGTAAAACAGAGAGTCAGCTTCTGATTCAATAAGACATGAAATACAACAGATTTTGGTAAGAAAGTACAGAATCAGTTACGATGCATTCCTTTGTTAGCCATAATGCTTTAAACACTGTTTACAGAGGTAAACTCTGTCTAATACACAGCCTTAGCAATGACACTCTCTAATTCCAGACATCAGAGTAGCATTCAGACTACCTCTTCTACGCATCTAAAAATGCCCTGTGAGCTCTAGCCACCAAAGAATGAACTGAAACACTTTCACTGTGCTGCCCAGCCCTGTAGATGCTTAAATCCAATACGTGCCTGCAAATTTGGGTATTTGAATCACAAGGATCCACAGTCACATGAGCTTAAGTGTCAATACCCGCTCCAAAAAATGTCTGAAGAAGTATATAAGATAAGCTTTTACAATTCAACAACTAGGTGAAAAATCATATGAAGTCTGCACAAGACCTCTGAATTGTGTGTGATATGTTCCACGAAAGCCCAGTCCATCAGACCATGTTAGATCCAGACCAAAGCTTATCGAACACAAGAATTGTTCTTCAAAAGCAAGGCTGGAGATGGCGATGGTTTCCCACCTTTTGCAGAATACTTTCAGTGATTATACAACTTGGTCAAGATTTAAAAAATAAGATAAACTCTGCATTAGCCTGGGGAGATTCAAACAATATTTTAATTTCTGAGGAAAACATCCTTTTCACAACATGACTTCTCTCAGAAAAGGACATATTGAAGCAGAAGTGGATGATGATACTCAAACTCAGAAGTGTAGGCTTCTGGAACCACAGCTGTTCATGCAATATCTTGTGTCTCATATTCCCCACTCCCTGTCTCTATTAAGATATCAGAGCACTGAATAGCTTTTCTGTTGAGCCTGCTGATGTAAAGGGAGTGTAGGTACTTCACATCAGCCTTTTCAGTCACCCTTGGAGCCAGTCTCAAACAGTTGTGGCATGGCAAGGCACTGGCTGAATACCAAAGAGAAGGAATCAACATCTTCCCTGTAGCCTATAAAATACAACTTGGAACAAGCTACTTTATTCGTGAATCCTGTCCAGCTACACAGGACAATGAACAAAGTGGTGTTAAGTCTTGGCTATGGAAAAGATGCATTGATGTAAAAAGTTTCACAAAATGGCAGTAGCTCTATGGTACAGTAATAACTAAAGAAAAGTGATATTCTCTTTCAAGAACATTTTTGCAACCTGCAGGGAAACTATAAAAATCTTCATTATAACACAGTACTCCTCGCTGAGAAGAATTCTTTACGGAGGAAAAAACCCAGCTCTTCAGAGGTCAACACTATTACACCCCTGTGGTATTTATTTTAACAGCTCAGATCACAGAGAAAATCCAGATTCAATCTGCCTCCTCGAGTACAAACTGGCACACTTCTTATTAAAAGGGAAATGGAAGCTTCCATTGTAAGGAATAAAAAATAAATCACAAAGTAACATCAAACCAATATAAAGAACTCAGAAGTATTTGTTAAAGGTCAGCTGTGCTCGCATGTTTCATTCATGTCTATGTATTACTGTTGTACTGTTTCCCACGTAACTTAAACAATTAATGGATGCCATTTCATAGCACGATCTACCAAGGAAACCTTCCATATACGTCTAGTGAAAGGAGTGATGATAATTTTCTAAGTGAGAACACATACAGGAATCATGGGATAAGCAAAAACCAGCAGGGAAAAATAATCTGCAAGTTAGTTTGGCACTGAAGTGGAGAAACCACAAATAAGCTAAGCACGATGGATTGTAAGTAGTGACAAATGAAGGAAGTAGGCCCTATTAGACAACTCTGTCTTTCAAGCTCTATCGGGCTGTAGATTTCTAGTCATGCCCTGAAAAAAACAGCAGAGTTATAGATTTGATGCAATATTGGAGAAGATACAGAGTGAATTTTTTTCTATTGCATATTTATGGAGCCATGCAAAACTCAAGATTGTTCCTGACTGAGTAAAACTTTAAGATCATTTAAGATTCCTAGGTACATAATAACCCCAGCTACTATTATTCATGTACTGAAGTTACGTTCGTGCTTTATCTTTCAAGAAACATCGCTCAAACTGTACGCAATAACTGGATGGATAAATAGATACGGCAAAACCCAATGATGTATAAAAGCAGCGGATTGCTAGGTTGTAGGGTTTTTTTTTTGCTTGTATGTACATTTACCTAATGCTTTTATCAAAACAATTTTCACTCCAGGAAACCTCCCTTAGTAAGAAAATCAGCATTTACAAAGTATCTCACAAAGAAATCAAAGGTAAAAACTGCAAAGAGAGCAGGTATCTGAAAATTATTATCCTTCAATAACAGGTGGCTTCTAGCAGAGGTAAGAAATGCATTCCTACTTATTTTTTACCTTGCTGAAATTTGCACAGAGTGGATTTTTTTGTACTGCACAGGCAGAGGGAGACAAAAGTACAAATGATGCTGGCATGCATAATGGCTTAACATTTCAAAGTGAAAATTCAAGAAAATATTTAGCAGTTATTCAACTGCCTTTTGTGAGAAATTCATCTGCCTTAACATCATGTCATTGATAACACAGTTAAATAACTCGGTCTCATTCAGTTAGTTGTGAAAATGTTAGTATTTTTTCCTTTGCCACTCAGAGACTGAAAAGAGAATCAGGATTTGAAATCTCGTGTGAACTGTCAATGGCGCAATTTCTTTTGAAAGACTTGCTCTATCAAAGCAATGAAAAAGTATTTTTATCCTTTTTATCTAAATGCTTACAATTCTGAGGGCTTGTAACTACTAATAAATCAAGACAGCTCAGAAGAGACTTTCATATATATAATTTTAGAAAAGACAAAAACACTCTTATAAAATTTGGTTTCTTAAATTAAATATGTAAGTAGGTCAGGCAAGGTGGAGAAGGAGGATGCATCTGTTAGTTGGTTCTTGTAATGCACTCTTAGTAGTTAACTCTGTAAAAGGCTAGGTGAAGAGCAATTAAAAATTCATACATTTTAATCCTTACCACCTACTGAGCAAAGATTTTTAGCAACAACTATGGAGAACATTTCACTGCCTGGATGACTGTCAAGGAACAAAACAACTGAGCTGAAATCCCATTCCACATAAAGCGGAAACTGATTTGAACTAATGCTAGCAGAAATTACAAAACTGTTACTACTTGTATAATGCAAAATAAATCAGAGTGCACTCTCCTTTATTACAAAAAGGGTAGTAGTAGACCTTTTGCTGCTACGTTAGTAACAAACACACTCTCAGAAATACCAATTTCTCACAAATCTTGCTGTATAAAGAAAATATGTAATTTTTAAGATTTACATATATTGCTGCTGATAATACTCTTGGCATTTTCAACCATTCATGCAAAGACTTAATTTATTTATACATCCTTTCTGTCAACCAACCACGTAAATTCTTCATGACACTGGTATTTCATGAAGCTGCTAGCAAATATAAATTCAGGTAATTTGGGAACAGTAGAAAATTCTTTATATGTGAAAGTAAACTCAATTTTAAAGGCTGGGAAATTAATGAAGCAATGTATTTTTCTCTTTTTAGTATTTGTTCAATGCTTCTGTTCACCAATAAACGCTTAAATTCAGAATATCTGTTTTGCTCTACTAGAAACAGACATACGATCACCACTATGAGGGAGACAAAATCTTTTTATCAGGCATGCCTTTATAAAAAAAAATAGGTAACAGTGTGACATTGAGCCAACAGAAAAACTTAAGTATATCTGGGAAAGGTCAATTGTGCTTAAACGTTTCATTCATGCCTCCATATCACTTTTCTCCACTTAAGAAAACAATTAGTAGATGTTATTTTATAGCTAATTCTAAAAGGACAATATACTAGATGTGGCTATTAAGATGAATGGCTAGAATCTTCAGGAAGGTTCCAGATATGCTTATGTAAATGGATTGAGGGGAAAAATATAATAATAATAATTAAAAAAAAATCAAAACCAAACAAGCCCTTCAACCTTTGAACTGGGTTTTATTAGTTCTGCAGAAATTAAAGCCATAATTTGCTGTTCCCTGAATGACCATACCGCATTGTGCAGTAAACAGGTTAGCAGAAATTCTTACCTAATTAGAAAATATGCTGAAGTAAGCAGGTGCTATATAACACAACACAAATATTGATCATAATTGTCAAACCTATTGCAGTATCTAACCACAATGCTCTATGATTTAACTTCGCATAATTACTTTGACAAAAACCTGTCATCAAATACGGGCCTACCTCTTATTTATTCCTATGTTAGAAGAGAATGGCCACATAAAACTCCTGTCCAGATTTTATTTCTGACGTCCTAGCTGTTGTGTTTGTATCGAGGTTTGATGCTCAGCCAACCGCTCAGTTAAGAGCATTCTCTTCAAGAGAATAAAAGCTGATAAAATGTCCATAAAGTCTTGCAAAATGCCATTATAGGAATCTCAGAAACATAATAATTCTGGTACAGTTTTGGGATTTACACCTTGTGTCGTCCTTTCACAGAAGCAAACATGCACAAAACCACTGTAATAACCTCTTGAAATCAGATAATATTCCAACAGCTCAGTTTCACTGACAGAAGGGGCCTGGGCATAAGCCAAGAGGCCCAGGTGCACTGTGTCATGCCAGTATTTAATGCAGCCTAATATCAGATAGATGCTAGTGAGAGAAAATATTCAGAATAAACCACAGATAATAGCATGGACAACCACTCATTGCTAAATTACTTCTGCTCATCGTGCTGTGAGCTTTGTATTAAATTTTTTCGTCAAGTGGCAGGAATCATAGGGAGAAGTGGCTCACAACTCCCTTCTTGTAACCCTGGATAAGGATCTATAATATTAGGCTTTCATATGATAATGGCAAATGATGCCCCTCTTTGAAAAATTTCAGACTGGTAATGAAAGTCCTAATCAGATTGTTGTTGCAGAGAACCAGGAGGTGGGGAACGATGCCTTTCCTTCCCCTCCCCCCTGTTAGCAAATTCAGCAAACTTGACAAGATGGGTTAAGTCTTGGAGAATTTATCTTACATGAATTTCCAACAAAGCCCGTGGGTTGTTTTATAAAACTGGAAGGTAGTGCTTTAATAAAAGCTGCACCACCTGAGGCATTTTCATTAAAGGCTCTCTCTAGACAACATCACAATGTTTGCATTATCCTCCTACGCTCCCAAGAGAATGCAAGCGCTACCTTTTCAGCCAGAGTTGATATTGTGTGTGAAGGCACGAGAGACAATGATTAGATTTTGCTTTTACTCACAAAGTAATGACTTGCAACAATGCTGTGGTCAGGATTAAAATTCATTGATTTGTGTTGTCCACCACTTGAATGGTAAATTGTTTTTTTCAGGAAAAGATACATTCTGAAGGTTTTAATAGCCAGTCATGTGAATGAAGATTTTAATCCTAACCGCCCATTATTCTCAATGACTGTACTATTTATGCTATATGGGCTCTTAAATAATGACAGTAATTAGCCGATTAGGACACTACAGAAAACAGGTGCAAGGCTCTGGAGTGGAAGCATCAACATACAGTATTAAGGAACTCTGGCATTTAAAATGATTAATCTGTTCAGTGTGTTTAGCAACAGGAAACACAAATCACTGAATTCTGAAACATAATGTTATCTCTGTGGAAAAATTTCACACACACGCATTGAATGAATATTTAGAAAGGTTCACTGACGTTTTCACCCATTTCAGTGGACTCACCATCTGTGTAGACGTCTCTGCGCAGATGTCCTGGCTGGTGTTTTTGCTTTTTGGCAGGTCGGACCTTCTGTATTACAACAGCACTCATGTTACTGTCGGTGGACACTGGGCTGGTGGGTCTGGGACAGTGTGATGCATGAAAATGTCTACGGCCTGGAAATTGTTATAGAACGATAGCTATTATTTCTCTTATCTAAAATAAGACATTTCACACTTTCTCTTTTTTCCCCATCAGAACGACCTAGCTATACAAAACCTGAAAATACACTGTTGGAACACTAACAGAACTCTCATCCTTCCTGTAATCAGTTTTAGAGTGAGCCACAACTAAACTGAAGCACCTGATATCCTATCAGTTAGGCCGACTGGCTTAGTTTCACAGGTATTGTCCAGCTGGTTGGTAGCTGGTAGCTTCTGCTCCAGGAGGCTGAACACCATCGGCAGTCAAGCCCAGGCGGGCTTCCCACCTTCCAGAGACAACAAAACATTTCAAGACGGGTTTCACCTCCCCTATCTGGGGCAGCGTGAGGTCACCCATGCCATGAGCAGAGCAAGCTACTAGCAGGTCTCGGGTACAGGTGCTGCTTCTGTCGCTTTGAGTGAATTACCAGGAATGCATCAGGGATGGACGACTGGCATTTCATCACAGCTTATTTGCAGATAAGAAGTGTCATATTTTTAGGATGTTTAGTCAGGGACAGGTAATACTAATACATAAAAATCACTGCATAACATGAACCTGAGTGTTGTAAAATTATTTACCTGCAATAGCAATGGGATATAAAAAGACCTTTTCAAAATATATAAATTCAGACACACTCACATATTTATATGGTCGTATACACATAAAATGGATAAAATCCTGGCCCCATGGGTGTGAATGGGAGTTTTGCCATCTACTTCAAATGGCCAGGGTTTCATCCAGAATTACTAAATTACCTCCCCTCTCACTCTTCCTGATAAACAGCTGCGTTGAAATGAAGCGAAGGACTGTTCACTGGGAGAGGATATCAGAAATGGGAGGAAGGTTGCAAATCTGCGGAGTCAGGGTGGACACAGTTGTGACAGAGTACCTCTTTCTCCAGGTTTGGCAGTTTAATAGGTGAAACATTCATGGATCTGCTTGAAACCTGCATTCTGCCCTGCGGTATTCTTAATTCTTAGCTGAACTGTAACAATATCCATTGGGCCTAGTCAGGTTACTGACTACCTGTATATATCCAGTGTTACTAGTAACCATTATGTTGTAAAACATTAGCTATTTCAAACATCATATTTCATATGTCCAGCGGTGATTCAGGAGAAAAAAAAAAGAAGAAACGTGCATAAGGCCTTGCTGCATATTCATAATCTCTAATCTAAACTGCAACTAATAACAGCTGTCAAATTATGAAACCAACACAAACCCACTTCATCTCAATAATACAGCAGTAAGAGCTTGAACAGCATTCTCCAAAAGATAACAACAAAATATAAAGTGGAAAACAATTACAGAATCACAGATTCACAGAACGGTAGGGGTTGGAAGGGACCTCTAAAGATCATCTGGTCCAAGCCCCCTGCTGAGACAAGATCACCCAGGGCAGGTTGCACAGGGACGCCTCCAGTCGGGTTGTGAAGGTCTCCAGAGAAGGAGACTCCACAGCCTCTCTGGGCAGCCTGTTCCAGTGCTCCGTCACCCTCACAGTAAAGACGTTTTTCCTCATGTTGAGGTGGAACTTCCTGTGCTGCAGTTTGTGCCCATCGCCCCTCATCCTGTCACTGGGCACTACTGAAAAGGGACTGGCTCCATCCTCCTGACAGCCACCCTTCAGATATTTATAGACATTGCTAAGGTCCCCTCTCAGCCTTCTCTTCCCCAGACTAAACAGCCCCAGGTCTCTCAGCCTTTCCTTAATCATCCTCGTAGCTCTCCATTGGACTCTCTCCAAAAGTTCTCTGTCTCTCTTGAACTGGGGAGCCCAGAGCTGGACACAATACTCCAGATGAAGCCTCACCAGTGCAGAGTAGAGGGGCAGGTTAACATTTCTTGACCTGCTGGTCACAGTCTTCTTAATG